TCAATACTGACTAGGTTCAAAAATATTTAGCAGTCAAGAATTGAAATCACTTATAAATTACTCAGATGGGTGAATAATGCTAAAACCAGCACAAATATCATTGTTTACATCAAAAGATACTGAACATAGAAATGTCCTCTTGATGCTATATTTGGGACCATATTGTGATGAAAAAAACTTTTGTTCAGTAATTGAAAACACCTGAGAGAAAGAAAAAGAGAAAATCAGCCCCTAACATCAGGAGCTGGCCTGGCACTCACAGTTATGCCTTGGTCTACTCCTGTGGAAGATAAACTGTTTCACAGAATTTCAACATTGTACAAGGCCACTTTGTTATCATGGTAGAACAAGACTACAACAAGATCACTCAATAGTCATGTCTGAATACAGACAAAACATTAACATTGCCCAAACCACAAAATACCAAACACTCCTCTATCCTGGTTAATAAGAATAAATGTTGTTACTTTATCAATCACGACTTCAGCCTCGCTCTGGTTTTCCCTCCTTCTGGACAAGACAAAAGACCCAATCATACAGTTATCCCCACTTGTTGATGACAAGAAATTCAAAGTAAAGCCATTAAACCCTCCCTCAGGTCCCCCTAACACAAGCCCAAACCCTATAAGATTTTTTTTTCATATTCACATACCCCACGGGCCCCCATTTTGTGTATTTTCCCTTATTGCAAAAAGTAAGAAACCCAACTTTTTCAACCACAGGAAAGCTGCTGGTCATCTTTGGCTGGAAGAAATTTACACTCCTTAACTTTTCGACATGTATTTTACAAACACATACACACACAGACACACACACACATACAAACACATACAGAGAGTATCTTTAGTTTCAGTTCCTCCAGGGGCCAACTACAAGCTTTAAAGCATAAGTAGTTTATGTGTATGTGCAATGTGAAAGAAATGCTGGTAGCAGAATAGGGAATTGAGATAGGAAACAGAAGAGAGATCATAAGGATATATTTACTAAGCTCAGCAACCACTAGAGTTTAATCCTATTAGAAAGCCCTGAGAAACGTGTGTGTTGGAGTTATCCCATCCAGAGGTAAAGGAACTGGGGTATTATTTATACATCATCTCTCATCATTGACGGCATACTGTTGGGGAAATGTTAATTTCCTAGTATTTGCAGCCTGCCACACAGGTGCAAAAGTGGGATTCAGTAGCCACTCAAAGCCCTCAGATAAAGAAATACAGGTTCTGGCAGGTGGAAGTTGGGCTTGCATACAATGTAGTAGTGATAGTAAGGCCATATGGGCAGGATATGGACAAGGTCAGCTATAAAATGCCTTTATGTTTTTCAACATAATCACCCCACAAGTCCTTGAAAGTATGCAGTATGATAGAAAATGCAAATGTTTGCCTTCACTGATTTTAATTTAATTGATGAACATCTTTAGTTCAATATTCTAGATTAAATCAGCCTTTTGACATCACTAAGCATGGGGTTTGTTTCTACACAAATCCTATTTTGACTGTAGTAATTATAACATCATCAACAACTTTAACAACCATTAACCACTTAAAATGTGTTGCTGTGTGCAATGCCAGCCATGTCATATGTCCTACCTCATTGGATCTTTAACAAAACCATATGAGATGTATTTTGTTATCTCTATATTAGACATCAGAAAACCGAGGTTCAGAGAGTTTAAGTAAATAAGCCTGGGAGTTACATCTTTCTTTTCTCATAGTTTCCATTAAAGTCAATCTCAAATCTTCCATGAGATGAGGAAGGAGTATGTTGTAGTGGATCCAATGAATGAAATTACAATTTATACAAGCTATAAAAAACTCATGCAACTATCTAAAAATGTAGAACTAGAAACACTTCTTTCCTTGATTTTTAGGTTTCATATATTCTTTTTTAAAAACAGGCTTAGATGTTGGAAAAAGGTTCAGAGAGAAACGAGAGGGAAGGGAGAAAGCTAAATGACTGGTATAGTTTAGACATAATCCTTGTAAAAAATGGCTTATGCTCCCATATTTTCCACAAAATCTAACCATGACATGCCTAGACATTTTTCATTGCCAACATTTCAAATCAGTGATTTTCAAAGTATGCTTCCATAGAACCACTCTGGAACTTTCTCCTTGGCATCCACCTGGGACTTGACAGAAATAAAAATTGCAGGCCCCACCCCAGACTCACTGAATCAGAAATTTGTGGGTTGGAGCCTAGCAATC